CTAAGGCCTTAGTGTGTTTATTTAGTCGTTCTTGTTTATGTTTCTTTTTTAGTGTGTTTAATTTGTTTGTCTGTTTCGTCTCGTGTTTTTGGTCTGGGCCGTTGGACTTTCTATATGCCCGAGTCTGAGCGAGTATTATCCCTTTGAGATCATCTTCGTCTATTCTCCATTGAGGAGCTTTTTCGTTTTATTGTATTAGTGTTTGTCGTGTCGTGGTGTTTTGAGTTTGTGTTTTCGTTTCTAGCGTTGCTAGAGTCGACTCTAGGCAGACTTCAGTTTCGGTTGCTCAGTTTATTCAGCCGTTGGTTGTAGCTTTGGACATTTGTGCAATTTTCTACAATAGTCTCTATCGTTCCAAAAAAAAGAACAATTTAAATATATCGTATTTTATTAAAATATTTGATTAGAAGTCTGCATTTTTATAGAGAAAATATTCTAGATTCTACTAAAGTTTATTCTTGTAAGAAGTAATTATTAAATTATATTATTAAACTAAATCTATTTACAAATAGGTTATTATTATGTATTAAAATTATATTCTTCAATTAATAATTATTAAGTTTATTATTTTTTGTTAAAACAATCTTGTTTGGGTCAATTGCGGATATATTTTATTTTAGTCGTTAAAACAACTATTTCCTTGTCTACTTTGGCTAAGTTATTGTTATATTAAACTATATTTTTTATTTAATAAAAATTTTTGCTGAAAGATAATTAGAAGAGAAAAGGAAAAATGGATATTTTTTTTTTTGGTACAAAGAAAGAGAGCAAATCCTAGGTCAGAATTTGTCTAGGGCGAGCCACGCCCATGCGGTCATGGTCGAGCCAAATACTTAGACCAGTAGGAGGAGAAGATAATATGTGCAATCCGCTCGGGTATGAAGCCGCTAGGCGGGCCATATAGTCCGCCGCATAATTCCCTTCCCGATGCACGTGGTGAACCCGAACAACCCAATTCCTTTTCAAAATTTCCTGAATGGCCCGAACTAGAACATCGTGGTCCCCAACGTCAGTGGTCGAACATAGAGCTAGTCTTTTAACATTAATATTGTCCACCTCTACCTCAACTTGGCGAAACCCCCGATCCCACGCCAAAGTGAGGCCATGTAGCAGCCCCCGAAGCTCGGAGCTTAAAACCGTTCCCAGACCAATATTCATGGTAAATCCCCCTAACCAACGCCCCAAGTCATCGCGTAAGAGACCCCCGGCACTACAGGAACCTGACGAGGGATAAACCGAGCCGTCCGTGTTGACTTTCACCCACCCCGCCGCCGGTGGGCTCCACCGCAACCAGCGTGTCTCATAAACTTGGGCCCCAACTCGACGGTAGTCCGCTGCCGCCCTCAGATAGGTCTCGGTATCTCTCAGGACTACATCGTGCATCATCGTAATACTAGGACCAGTGGACGAGAAAACTCTGTCATTCCTCCACTTCCATAACCTCCACACAACCACCGCGAATAAGCTAGACCAATTATCGAGAGTCCCCAGCTTCACCATTTGCAGATTTCGGCTTAGCCATGGCAGTAGATCCGATCCAGAGAAGGCGGCCCGACTCGCCGCCGGTACCAGCCGTTGCCACAGTCGCTGGGCTTGCGGGCAATCTCGCAAAACGTGAATTATAGTTTCATCGCCCCCACAAACATCACAGGCTCCAGATGCCGCCAAATGGCGCCGCACACGCTCGGAGTTAGTTAAGAGCCGGTTCTTCGCTACTAGCCATAAAAAGGTTCGGACTCGCTGAGAGGTTTGGGCGCGCCAGATTAGACGCCACAGCCGGGGTTCCACCTCCTGCCCGCACGGCGAAATCGCGTGATAAGCAGACTTTGTCGTGAATCGCCCATCCTCAGATGCAATCCAAGTGAGTCGATCGTCGCCTGCCATCGGTCGTGGGGGTGGGATTGCAGCAATCTGGGTTATTAATGAAGAAGGCAATACTCCATGCAGGCAGTGCCATTTCCAGTCCCCACGCTCATCCACCAGATCAATAACTTTTGAGGTCATGCAGTCCACCCGCTGGTAATCCGTAACCTTTGTGATCAGAGCACCCTCCGACCCGAGCCATGGGTCGAGCCAGAAGTGGGTCGTCTCGCCGTTTCCCACGGACCATCTTATTCCTGCCAAAACTTTTGGCCAAACCGTCCGTAAAGCTCGAGATAACGAGGAACCCTCTCTCCATTTAACTGCTTGCAGGCCACTAGTAAAATCTAACCCATATTTGGCCCTGAGAACTCGTACCCATAAAGCCGACGGCTTCGTCAAAATTCCCCACACGAGCTTCATTAATAGTGCCTCATTCATCCGTCGAAGATCACGTAGCCCGAGGCCGCCCTCCTCGCGGGGCTTGCACACATCTCTCCACGCCACCAAGTGAACCCTTTTACGATCACATGTCCCTCCCCACACAAAGGCTCGGGACCGCCGTGCAAGTCCGTCAGTAGTCGAGCTTGGAAGTAACGCCGTTTGCATCGTGTAGTATGGCAGGGTATTCAGAACGGATTGGGTAAGAGTTACTCTACCTGCTAGTGACAAACTTTGCATTCGCCAGCCGGTGAGACGAGTTTCGGCCTTCTCTACAATATGAGCATAGGTGGATCGGGTGACCCGCCCATGAAGGATAGGGACACCCAGATACTGGCCTATATCATCGGTTAACGTGAAATTGAGAGCCGACGCTAAGCGATGTTGCTCCTGCATGTGGACATTCTTCGAGAAAAACACCTGTGTCTTGGCATCACTTACTTTTAGGCCAGAGATTGCACAGAAATGATGTAGAATTCGCGAGAGCACACACACCTGATCGTCCGAAGCCTCCAAAAAAAGTAACAAGTCATCTGCGAACATAAGAAACGGGACCTGCACTGCGCCCCGCCCAACGGAAATCGGTCGCCACTCACGGGCGTCGACCGAATCACCAATCTGCTGCGCTAGTCTGTTCATGCAGAGGACAAAGAGGTAGGGGGAGATAGGGTCTCCCTGCCGCACTCCCCGGGTGGGCGTAAACTCCTCTCCCAAGGCCCCATTCCACATCATGCTCATCGAGGCCGACCGGATACAGGCCATGACTGCATTAATGAACTTCTCTGGATATCCAGCTAGGCGAAGAGTTTCCTCGACAAATGACCAGCGAAGGAAGTCATATGCCTTTTCGAGATCCACCTTAACCACCATGAAGCCCGTCGAACCTCGTTTCCCCCTCATCGAGTGGATAAGCTCTTGCGCCACGATGATATTATCAGTAATATGTCTGCCGGGGACAAAACTGGCTTGGGCCGGGTGTATCAGGTCTGGTAGCGAGCTCTTCATTCGGTTTACCAGCACCTTAGTGAAGATCTTGTAAACTACGTTAAGAAGGCTAATGGGGCGGAATTGTTGAATCCTCGTCGCATTCTCCACCTTAGGGATGATTACCAATAGCGTGCGGTTCACCCAAGTTCCGTTATGTATTTTAGTCATAGATATACACATAATCTGATAATGTGTAGATAATCCAACGTCAGTGGCGGCTCTTGGGGGAGGCAGACCAAGCTCTTGCCTAGGGCCCCAAATAATTTGGGGCCACATTTTTTTTTTGGATAATATTATGAACTAGTACAACGCTCGTGTATTATACGGGTGCTTGCTAATTTATTTTTTTAAAATCTAAAATTAATGAGAAAAAAGTAGTTGAAAATTTAAATATCTTTTATAAATATATATATTTAGTATGACACTTTTTATTTGTGCAACTTACATGTGTTATATTATAATAATTTTTTTAACTTACAACATATAACTACATTAAGCATAAATATATCAATTGAAAAATAATTTTATTTTTCTAATAAATATTAATAAATATTATTATTTTTTATTATTATAAATATAAATATAATTTATTTATTTCATGTATACAATATGGATGTCAAATCGAAGATCATCAAAAGATGATTAATTTGATATATTATATATATTTTTATTTTGTTCGTCACAGCACTTCAGCGTTCTTACATTGCTGACGAACTGCGTTGTTTAGTTTCTTTTTCTTTTTACAAACACTTTTTAGGTGCTTAGGGATTAAGTATTGGGTTTTGCTCGAATAATTCGAGTGTGTAAAGTCCACGGGACGTGGTCAAGGAAGTAGTTGATAGGGTCGGGTATAGTATTGGCTAGACTAGGAGGGAGTCCGATTTGAGTAAGTCCAAGCTGTATTTTGTGAGACGCAAGACCGATTTATCAATGAAAGAGCTTTGAGGGGTAGTGGGACGCTCCCCGAAGAAATATTTTTTATATCGCTTCCGCTTTTAAGTTTTATTTTCTTGTGTTGCAACATGGTTTAGTAATCCAGAATTTCTGTGTTCTAACACAAGTTGCGTACTCTATACTCCCCCGCCATTGTTTCAGTGGGGTTTGGAGCGCCAACCTTTTTTTATGAGGGGAGAGCAAAGAGATAGACGCGAAGAGACAGTGAGTGAAGAAAAAGATAATAGTATTATCAGGTAAAATAAATTCAATAATAATAGTATTAGTATTTATATGGGGAGTTAGGAGAAAATATAAATATGTTTTAGGGAGTGCAGAGGGAAAAGAATTACATTGGGGACGGACAAGGAATTTAAAAAGTGCATTAGGGATTTATAAGGAACTAGTACAATGCCCATGTATTACACGGGTGTTCGCTAATTTTTTTCTTAAAATTTAAAATTAATGAGGAAAAGTAGTTGAAAATTTAAATACATTTTATAAATATATATATTATTATATATTTAGTACACTTTTTATTTGTGCGATTTACATGTGTTATGTTATAATAATTTTTTTAACGTACAACATATAATTATATTGAGCATAAATATATCAATTGAGAAATAATTTTATTTTTTTAATGATTTTTAGTAGATATTATTATTTTATTATTATAAAAATAAATATAATTTATTTGTTTCATATATACAATATAAATGTCAAATCGAGATCATCAAAAGATAATTAATTTGATATATTATATATGTAAAACCGATAAGAAATACAAAATTTATCAACTTTTAAAATACATTTACTATTCAATAGCTAATTGTGGAAGTAAATCAAAAGTCAGAGATATATTAGTCACTTAGTGTCTCAATATGTAAAATTACAAAGAATTAAAGGGTTATATTGGTAAAAGTGATATTAAAATACCTACTAGTTGGTCTACTGGCTGTGCACGCACAGCCGGCCCATGTCCAGTCGTTAAATTTAATCTTTCATGAGTAGAAAATTTGTTCATCATTTAAATTATCATTTTCGTCGGCCATAAAAAATTACAATTTTTAATGTGCTTTATACATGTATTTGCCCGACTCAGAGACTACAAATACATACATTAACATTTCTAAATTAGATTGAAATTACTTGATACGAATCTATCATAAATGTAAGAGTCCCAGAACACGATAAAATATCCAACTATCATAGAGAACGTAAAAGAGAACGTAAAAGTAAAGTGTTTGGTTCACCATTAAATCATAGAAATTATATATAGTGTGAACTCGGCTCTGCACGCACAGCCGGCTCTAGTCTAGTCTTTCATTTTAACTAATACTCAGAGAAATTTTAAAATATATACCTACCTTTTATGGCATTATAAATCTAGCTTCAAGTAACTTAATAACAATGAATAAAGAGTTCTACAATACAATAATATAATAAGATATGAACCTTTCTATATAAGCGTTAATTTTTTTTTTTTTTTGTTTGTTTGAACACAATATTTGAGAAACTGTGTTGAAAAGCAAAAGATTAATATTTATTGTTAAGTACGACAAAGTTGTACTAAAGATCAACCGTACAAGCAATTATTTCATTACATCATGTGCTATTAGCATAAACTCGCAAACAAATATTTATTGTATTTTTTCAGTCGCCAAAAAATATTGCAGTTTTAGATGTGTTAAATCTTATCCACAAATACATATATTTGCTTGCCTCATAAGACTACAAATACATAAATTTGATTAACATTTCTAAAACCAAATTGAAATTACTTGATATCAATCCATTATAAAGCAAGGAGTATTAACCTGATAAAATATTCAACAATGCTAATTTATTGCGTAAAAATAAAATAAATAAATAAATCTTCTATTAAGGCAACTGAGGTGGTTGATAATGTTGGTTGGGGCCTGCAAAGCTTGGTTTCATATATATAGGTGCAATTTCTCGGCATTTTGTTCGAACTCTTCATGACAAGAATCATCGATGAAGAGTTTGAACAAAATGCTTGATGATTCTTGTCATGAAGGCAAAGCTAAAACCAATTTCTCGCCAATTCAACGATGTTGTTTTCGGTCAATGTCAATCGCGTACTTATTCAAGTTGCCTTTGAAACATTCCCCGTAATAGTAATGGGCAATATATAATGAAAAAACCAAACTAATTAGCTTTAAACAATGAACCACAAGCATTCATTCTACTTTGCCTTTTTTTTTTTTCTTTTTTACAGAACACTACTTCCATAATTATTTAGGAGAGGAAAAAATTAAGGGGCACAGACACAGAACTCTCAATCATCAATCATCAAATCAGCCATTAGTAAGAAACATGATACAATTAGTTAGTTACTTGATCTAGAGATAAAAAAATTTAATACATACTTACAACCTAAAATCCTAAAAACTCAACACTCCTTGGATGCCTAACTGTTGTAATGAGAGTAAAAAATTTTGAACAACTTAACAAATGAATAAAAACTGAAGAAAAAAAAGAGTGTAAATGAACCTATTAACCAAAGCATTTCTTCTCAAATATGTTAACGATGTCACTATTCTACAAATATTCAGTAGTCATTAGCAAGTTTATATAGTATTTTGATATTTGCCCAAACAACATGCCGCAGAACAAAAATATAAAAATCCAAGATATAGAAACATGACCTGAAAATTGAAAATGTGAAGTTTTATTCAAAATTCAATACCATGAAATGTGAAGTTTTATTCAAAATTCAATACCATGGCCTGAACCTAACAGCACACTGTTCTCCCTTTCCAAACTCATGCCTTGTGCTTACATAGTTCAGAATGGTACCACAAAACAAACAAACTACACACACACACACAAAAAAAAAGTGCAATAAAAAAAAAAACAAACAGAACTAATTACAAAAACCACAAACCAGGAAAATGATTGGGCTCATACCTTGATGATTTTATAGGGTAAATTATCATTGGCCATCAGATCAACTTGCATAGCTATCTTCGTCCACCATTTTCAAGTCGGAGATTTAACGCTGTCATTTAGGGGAGGAATAGAAACTCTGAAAAAAAAAAAAAAAACAGTTAAATCGTCACCATTTTGGTAGACACATAGCTTGCTTTGGTTAGTGATGAGAATGCTAAAGTTATCTGGGTGTTTGTTCTGATTAGCATCAAATAGATGAATATATATATTTGGTTAGGCTCAGAGCAGAGTACAAAAATTACATAAAATATTTCACTTACATGCTCAGGATGAAAATACAGTCGTACCTTAAAAGCATGAAATGCTTCGAGCTGAATACTCTTGCTCGATTCATGGAACAAGAGAAAAGTTTCAACAATCAATACATGACACCAGGAACTATCAAGTTAAAGCATCTTTTACAAACAAGACAACACAAAACACATTTCCATCTAAAATTTCTATTATTTCCAAAGGGGTAGAGAACATGGCAAATGAATCAGATATCTAAAGAAATGTAGGGTTGCTCGTTCAAACTTTATATTATTGAGTATTACAATTTTATGACCAATGAGTTTCTATCATGCAAAAGGAAACAAAAAATGGGTTGAATCTAAAGTCCTTTAAGGAAATCATAACCAGAGAACATTCGCGAGGATCCACAAGTTGTTTCTTGCGAAAATGTATTGAGTCATCACAACCGAGTTTGAAAGGTCGAGCAAGATATCTCCCAACAACTGAAATTAGTACACGACAGAATCAAAAGACATAGTCAACAGCACAGAGAGAAAACAATCTATAAAATATAGTGCAATAAAATAACGAATTCTGTTTTTTTTTCTTTCGTCTGTACAAATCTCAACTACTTGGATTTTTTGCTTGTAATTTTCCTATACTATTTTGGACTGTCTAACGGCCATCATGAATTACACAAAAAGAAGAGAATGAATAGGAGATACCCTGACGACCCGACGGCCGGCCTTCTGGTTATGTAATAAGCATATTCGAGCAACTTCAGATTATAATCAACAAAGAAGACCTATGAAATATAAACAAGAAGATAGCAAGTAAATTAAAAACACAGTAGAGAGAGTGAGAGAGAGCACATTGTGTAAGCAAGGATAAAGTTACTAATAACCAGAAATAAAGATTAGGTGAATAGATGATAATATAATGTTTAGCAGACCATCTCAGTGAAGAATTACTCACCAAGTCAAAGTTTTTGCATAGAAAAGAATATCATTAAGATGTGATAATCAAATCCAAGCATTATTCACTGAACAATGGAAATATGGCGAACAAGTTAATTAGAAAATAAAACGAAAGTGCTTAAATTCTATTTACATCCCAAAACTAAAAAATCTAACAAACACTTGGTATGATGCCCGAAAAAACTCAATAAGGAATCATCCCAAAAAGAAAAAATAGGGAATAAACTCTAATTGGTTTATCCTTTCCTGCAATAGATATCAAAAGAGCCAAGTGAAAGACAAAATTATTTGTTAAAAGTACCTATGGTTTTGAACAAAACTTGATTTGGCTCGATGTTGGAAAGGATAAGGCACTCACGGATCAGCTGCTAGCGGCGTAGAGAGCTGGGCTTGGTGCACTCGGCGTAAGCCCTCTCCAGAGCCTCCACCTTCGTGGTGTACCGCACATATTTTCAGCGGCATTAACAGACCACCAACATTTTAGTTTTTGTACCATACATGTGCAAGTTACTGGAGACGCCTGTTCTCAGCAGGAACTCCGACACCTCCGCTGCTGAGGACAGAACTTCATTTTCCACCGTGGTGCAAGAGTCGTGATTCAGGTGGTTGTTCTTTGTGCAAGAAGATATGAACTGCTCTATCAAAAGAACATCACTGAGCAGATTCCCAGCAACTTGCAGTCATCTTTTGGAAACTCCTGATCCAACCAACAAAATGGAAACAACACTCAACAAAAAGGAAACAAAACTTTGGATTATTGAAGAAATTTACAAAAAGAAAAAGAAAAAGAAAACGGTAAAAAAAATCAGCAGCAGAAAAAGCTAGAAATCCGACCTTGTTGAAGTGAAACCTCTGTAATAAGGAGGATAAAAATCCCCTCAACGCCGGATTTGCCCAAAGCTGGAAAACATCATAGGAGCAGTGTAGTTTATTGAAGGTTGCAAGGGAAGAATTAAATCTTCTACATCGTATTCTTGTTAAAACCAAAGCAAGTTCGACAAAGCGAAAAATCAATCAAGCTATATTCAGTTACATTAACAACCTGTAAGAGGACATTCTCATGGCTCACAAATGCTAGAAAAATATGAAAGAGCCAAGATAAGAACTCTCTCAAGCAAATGAAGATAAGTGCGACCTTGTAGAAGCTACAGATAAACCAGAAACAAAAATACGAAACAATTTAAAAATGTCCCCAAAAAATCACACGAAGAAACAGAGACGAAACACAAAACAGATAAATACAAAAATAATTTTTAAAGCTAAATTATTGATGGACGGGTGAAACAAAGGTTTTTACTTAACCCCAAATGGTAAGTTATGTAAGATTTTGCAGTCTTCATAGTCAGTTATAAGCTATCAATGAAACTGAAGGCACTGAAACTTAACAGACCAAGATGATAAAATCCAAAATGCAAGCAACTTAGGAGCAACAATTCAGAACAAACTGATTACCTCTTTCAGTGATAAATCCTGCAATCGACTTTTCCTCCCCTGGTTTAACCACCACCAGAGCTCCAACATTGTGTTGAGTCATCTGCATTTGAAGAAAAAATAAGGACAAAAACAAAATTAAATTGAAAAATGTTTATGATCATATCTCATTTTCATTTTTCGCATAAAGCAAAAATGAAAATCTACGATGGAGCATATAGGGGGAACAGATAAACAAACAACACCTGAACAACTAAAAAAACCAGAAAAAGAGCTTAAGCTTATTTATAAGTGATAACCAGCTTATATAAAACTACAAACACCCTGCATGCCTTATCAAAAGCTCATCTTGAGGCTATAATTTTTAACAGACAAATAAACGTAAACTCGGATTTTTACCTAATTCAAAATCTTAAGAGATAATTGAAACAAAAAAGATGTGTATTACTGATTTCACGGCTTCATACACATTGGCATCAGTCGTGCACCAGAGACAGAACCCATAGGCGCCCTTCCCTTTGACTTTCAGAACATCAGAAATTGTGGTGCTCTCCAAACCGTGCTCTTCGATACGGGCTGCAGAGGTTGACTCTAGGCGTGCAAAAATCGGAGCCTCATGGATGGTGTAGCCACCCTGACATGATGGAGAATCGTGTCTTGAGAACACTACCATTCAATAAATTGCTTTCATTACTCCTTACATTGTGCCTTATCTAGCAAAAACAAGAAAGTGCACGACATTATTGTAAGTCTATAAAAGTATCAAAAGTTTGATTTAACTATAACATTTTTCTGCTACTGATAATCCTACTTGTGATATAACATTTTTCTGCTACTGATAATCCTACTTGTGATTTATCATCGCCTGCTCGTTGGTGTTGAAATCCACCCACTCGCAACCCTGCTCGTCGGACCGCTTCACCACCACGAAGTTCTGCGGCACCACTACCGCCTGACCCTCGCGGACCTCGCCGCCGAACACCGCCTGACCCCGTAGCAAAAACAAGAAAGTGCACGACATTATTGTAAGTCGATAAAAGTATCAAAAGTTTGATTCAACTATAACATTTTTCTGCTACTGATAATCCTACTTGTGATTCATCATCGCCTACTCGTTGGTGTTGAATTCCACCCACTCGCAACCCTGCTCGTCGGAGCGCTTCACCACCACGAAGTTCTGCGGCACCACTACCGTCTGACCCTCGCGGACCTCGCCGTCGAACACCGCCTGAACCCGGTGGTTCACCATCTGCATCTGGAACACGTCGCGCGTGACTGACAGGAAGCTGTGCGCATTCACGAACCTGTGCGACGCCATTATCGCATTCTGCCAAATAAATAAATAAAAATGGAGTTTAATTTGATCAACGACCTGTTAAAAATTGGTTGTTGGAGCAATTATTGTTGAAAAAATAGACTAATTTGGTTCCTCGTGGTTGCATCTCTTGATCAAGATCATAGTACCTTTTTTTTCCACTTGGAGTAATTAGGGGTGGATCTGGTTTTGCAAGGACTCTTCAAAGTAGAAGGCTCTCGAACCTCACCATCGTACCCATCGTCTTCCACCACCGAATTATCGATAACACTATTCCTTAGGTGCAACAACCAGATTCAGTGCACTGTTCATAATCTTCAGATAACTCCTCATAGCAAACTCATCCAAACTCATCGAAACCATCAAATAGTTTCAAAAATATGATAAACAGTTAAACTAACACCAAATTACACACAAATCCGTTGAGACCTTGAAATATCAAACACGATTAAATACGATATACATAAAATGCAATCTACAAAATTCAAATAGAAAAAAAAAATAGAAAAAGAAAAACGGAACCTGCTTGAGATGCGTCTAGACAACAGGGAGATCTACCAGAAATTCCTTAGCGACTCGCAGTTCCAGCCAGTTCTCGCTCGCGAATCGAAGAAGGACGTGAAGGAATCCATTTTTTTTTATCTTTAGCTCTCACTGCATAATACAAAAAAATGAGATCTATACGTGAGCCATTGTTCCCTTTTGAGAATTGCAAATGAGAGTAATTGTGGCTTTGAAAAGAGGGGGAGGTGTTTACCTGCTGTTGACGATGGTCACACCCTCTCTGTCGTCGTTCGCCGAGTGCGGGACCCTTACGGCGCCTACGTCGCCGTTCTACGCAAGCCGACAATGCCATTCGACCCGCCTGTATCGCCTCTGCTCCTTTCATCTTTAAGGGTCGGATGAATGAAGCAAAGTTGTGCAGAATTTTGATCGGGCAGGAGGAAGGTACAGAGAGATGCAAGGGAGATTTGATTTTTTAATCAAAGATACGAAAGTGATTTGTGAGATTTTGGAAGATTTTTTGGATAAACGTACACAGAAAAATCAGGAAATAGAGAGATGAAGTCGGTGTAAAGAAAAGAAGGCATCAAGTGTAAAAAGAGGACCAATTTAAGGGCATTTTTGTCATAAAAATTGCCACGTGTCGAGCCCTAAACACCTCACACTTTTCTTTATATGTATAAGGGAGATATTATTAATTATAAATAAATCAATATTATTTGTCCAAACTTAAATTAGGAAGCATGATTTTTCGCCAAGTAAGATTCCGAAGCACGAGAAGCAGATATAGGCTCAGTGAGAATTACACGAGGAGTTTGCTGAGGCCAGTTGTTGAACTACAAACGCTTCAAACCCCCAAACCATCTGGACCCGCATACCGTTCCGACCAGGCCCGACCCGATCCAGCATGGTGCTGCCGGAGATGGAACTCATGGCTTCGGCCATCGGAGTCTCGGTCCCCGTCCTCCGCTTCTTGCTATGCTTCGTGGCGACCATTCCGGTGAGCTTCCTTCACCGGTTCGTCCCCGGCGGACCCTCCGCCCGCCACCTCTACGCCGCCGCCACCGGGGCAGCCCTATCCTACCTGTCTTTTGGGTTCTCGTCGAATTTGCATTTCCTCGTGCCGATGGTCTCGGGCTACGCGTCGATGGTAATCTGCCGGAAGTACTGTGGGGTTGTTACTTTCTTTCTGGCTTTTGGGTACCTCATTGGATGGTACGTTTTGGATTTAATTTTGCATTTGTTTGTTTGATATGTATGTTGTGTTTGGGTTTCTGTAAATTTAATTTTTAAAATTGTTTTTTTTTTTTTTTTGGCTATTATATGTAATTAGTATGGTGTTTCTTGAAAGAAAAAAATGATAATAGAGCTCAATTGCATTATGCTTTGTCAACTGTGGAAGCTACAGAGGTCTTATAGTATTTGCTTAGTGGTTTTGCAAAGTAATTGAAGCAGAACACAGAGTTGTGATACTGGTAATTGAAAATTTTCACCATCTTTTTGTTTTAGAAACCTTGAACCACAGAGATACAGGCTCTTGGACCTGCTGGGCGTTTTTATAACTAATGCAACTGCAGTATGTACCCTTTTCAGGATATAGTGCTATTTATCATTGATTGCCCCTACCCATTTAGTGATGATATATGTACCCTTTTCAGGCTATAGTACTATTTATCAGTGATTGCCCCTACCCATTTAGTGATAACTTGACCACATTCATTTTCTCCGTTTATGTGAAGTTTGAATTTAGATTAGTAGTTTGTTAGACAGCATCAGAATGTAGTGTTTTTCATTTTTTCTTATTAACCCGGTTCTACTCACATAATCGTGTTCCATGTATATGTCACACTGCTAGATTATGCATTTACATTGATATTATGTTGATTATTGTTGTATATATGTGTAGCCATGTATACTACATGAGCGGAGATGCATGGAAGGAAGGAGGTATAGATGCTACAGGTCAGGGCCATCCCAGTTTCTGTCACTGCTGGTTTTTCTATGCTTATGCACTGGAGTTCGTTCTTTGACAAAAAATAATGATTGTTTATATTAGGTTTTGTGTAATCCACGAGGAAGTATAAATTCAAGCACATCGTCATAATTCTCTATACATATACTAATGTGGATTTGTATTCAACGGTGGTCATTCCTAATGTGCTACTTCCTGATAGAATGTTTAACTGAGGAGAACTACTGTACTATGCATTAGGATACCTTTGTCCCTTACATAACCTATTGTATGTGTTAATGGGAATACATGCATTTTGCATTATATTTTCTTGACTCTGTCCTTATGCATATAGTGATGATGGTTCCAAGGCACATGAATAGTCAAGATTCAGATGGTTAATCAGTTTGCATTACTGGGTGATTACTTAGTTGCTACCTGCACACATGAATAGTCAATATTTTTGTAACTTACTTTGATATTGGTTTTCCTGATTGTTGGCATGTTTACAGATATGCTAATTTCCTTCTCCTCGTGCCATTTTATATTTGTTGAAGAAGATAAAAACAGCACGGGGAGAAGCTCTTTTGAAATTAATTATAGTTGGATTGTTCCTTTTCTTTTTGTATGTACTTGGAATACGTTATTATACTTATACCTGTTAATCTGGATGCGTTGAAATTGATAAAGTTACAAATGTTTGCCTCTTTGTTATCTTAAGATCATACATTTTAGTTCATTTACTGGGGTCTGTTCTCCATAAAATGTAGTCTGTATAGAATTAATAAATGAATCCATCAGGCTATTGTTCACATTTTTTGGTGCTCACCATTTGCAGGAGCTCTGATGGTAATAACACTAAAAATCATATCGTGCGCCATTAATTACAATGACGGACTGCTGAAGGAGGAAGGTCTGCGTGAAGCACAAAAGAAAAATCGGTTGCTCAAATTGCCATCATTACTTGAGTACACGGGTTACTGTCTCTGTTGTGGAAGTCACTTTGCAGGTCCCGTGTATGAAATGAAAGACTATCTTGAATGGACTGAGAGGAAATGGGTATTGTGTAGTCATATACCATGCTTCTGCACATTGTTACCTCGCTATGACTGCTATTAATTTGGCGCCAATTTTATCATTGACAGATTTGGCTGGCTTCAAAAGATGGATTTACCCCCTCTCCTTATTGGCCTACTTTTAGGGCTCTTATTCAAGCTGCTTTCTGTATGGGCTTGTATTTGTATCTTGTACCACATTACCCACTTTCCCGATTTACAGAACCGGTATACCAAGAATATGGGTTCTGGAAAAAGTTGAGTTACCAGTACATGTCAGGCTTCACTGCTCGTTGGAAGTACTATTTTATTTGGTCCATATCAGAAGCTTCTATTATTGTTTCTGGCCTGGGATTCAGTGGCTGGAAAGATTCAAATCCACCAGAACCTCGATGGGATCGTGCAAAAAATGTTGATATTCTAGGTGTTGAGTTGGCCAAGAGTTCCGTGCAGCTACCACTTGTGTGGAATATTCAAGTCAGCACCTGGCTAAGGCAATGTAAGTATTTCACTACAAGCTGAATAGAGGACGATTAGGTCAGTGTTGATTGTGTCTTTGGATATCGAAATTTGTCAAAGTCATTACATATGTATAACTGTTTGACTACTTATCTAATTATGGTTACTGAAAACTGAATAACTCGTCAGGCGTAGGTATCGGAACCCAAAAATCCCATTGCCCGATTGCTACTCACTCACTTCATTGAAGTGCATGACTATACTCACCCGTTGAAAACTAGCATGAATTTATTCTTCTGTTAAAAAATCACACATTAACTAGTATTTCTATTCAACATAACTTGGATTGCTATTTGTTCGTACACTTGTGATATTGGAGGTGTCTTGAACTTTTCTTATCTTACTTTTTCTGTCCACATAGTTGAGGATAGGAGCTGTCCTCCTTGCATGCTTTCCAATTTCAATCATGTAGAGTTGCATGATGAGCCATCTCTTGGAGACTTGAACCTCAGTGCTAAAATTATCTTTTTGTGTTCTTAATTATTTTTGTTTTATTATGGGCAAGGGTAGCTGAAGTCCTCAACCACTATGTTTACCTTATGGATTGATATACACTCTTCAATGTCAAAGATCACATGTTGAATATTTATTGTTTCACCAAGAATATTGCATGAACTAGGGATTTGGCTATAGTATGATTGCACACAGTGCCAGTGATTAATCCTATGAACGATAGAATTTTATTTAGCTAATGGTCTTGTTTTCTTCAGATGTCTATGAGAGGCTGATTCAGAAAGGCAAGAAACCAGGCTTCTTCCAGTTGCTGGCAACTCAAACCGTAAGCGCCGTGTGGCATGTAAGTGTGAATTCGACCATACTTCTCACTGGATCCTGCCCCATATATTGCCTTCTCTGTATCGTCGATTGTTGGTTTTTCGCAAACCTATACATAATGTGCATTATAAGCTCACAACTGAAGTAAAATTTGTGTATATGCAATCTTCATTTATTAATTAGGGGTATAAAGTGTTCTCATAACCTTATGGCTTGAAGATGCATGGTATTTCAGGTTACATATGATCATTTAGTTTCCTTTAAAACTTACCCAGTAATGCCTTTAAACAAATGTATCACATTGCTGTTTAGATAAGTCAAATGATTCAGTTCTACTAAAGCAATTGTGACCAATCATCATGCTAAAAAGAATTACATGCTGTAAAAACATTACATGTTTGTGTAATATTTCCACAAAACCATAAATATGACAGATTATGTTCCAATAGTTGTTTTTTACCATTTTGTAAGTGAGTCAACTGCCATTTCACCAAAGCGGATTTGAGACAATTTTATTTTTTTCGATAACAGGGATTATATCCTGGGTACCTCATGTTCTTTGTTCAATCTGCTTTAATGATAGCTGGTTCAAGAGGTAAGAATTGCAACCACATGCTACTAAACAATTAATTGAGATGGTTTGCATTCTAAAATCTAAATACTCATTTTGGTCCACGAGCAGTAATTTACAGATGGCAGCAAGCAAGCCAAGTGGCTCTAGTCAAGAAGCTGCTCGATCTATTCAACTTTGCTTACACGCTATTGGTTCTCAACTACTCTGCCGTTGGTTTCATGGTTTGTTCTCTCTTCTCTTTCACACTTGACATAGAGAATGAAAAATAGCAATTAACATCTTAACTTTTTGCCGAGTGAATAAATTTGTTGTGCCATTAACAGGTGTTAAGCTTGCATGAAACGTTAACCGCATACAGAAGTGTGTACTACATAGGGACCATCATCCCAGTTGTCCTAATCCTGCTAGGCAAAGTCATCAAGCCAGCAAGGCCAGCCAGGTCAAAAGTACGGAAAGATGAATGAGTTTTTTTTTTTTTTTTCCTAATTAAATTGCACCCTTGCAATTTTTGTTATATAAGAGCTTGGGTTGAGATTAGCACACTAGTAGACTTCTAAGTTCCTCTGCATCTTTATGTGTTCTTGTTTAACATCAAATAACCAATAAAATAAAGACCTTTGTGCCCACTAAGTCGTTTTTAACCATTATTTGCAGACATGGTTTAGTTAACCATGTTGACCTTCTAATAATTGTGTAGCGATAGGTGTTACTGTATGGTTAGATGCGATCTTTTGTAGAATCTACAGTCGAACATGGAGGATCGTCTGTGATTTGTGAATGTGTTGTTCATATATACATTAAGCAGCCACTCTTTGTATGATTTTCGGCTTTTAAGACCAAGTTGATTTGGAAGAGCAAAATCCAAAGATAAATTGTTGGGCTGAACCTGATTTTACCTACTGGGGGCCTATTGGGTTCGTGGTGTGGTAATGAGCACATTATGGCCTGCTTTTTGTTGGAGCCATTTTTTTCCCTTTTGATAATTCAGGTGTTTTTTTTACTACTGTTGATACCCGTGCGATGCACGGGTTACATTATAAAAATATTTTTTATTTAAATATTATAAAATTATTTAAGCCAATATGAAATTATTCTCTAGAATACTCTATCCAGTAATAATATGACATTTATTTATTTAATATTATTGTTATTATACATATATATTGTATATTTTGACGATTTAATATATAAAATTTATTATTTATAAGTTTATAAAATATTTTAAATGTATAAGATTATATGATATTTGCATACAAATTAATTGTATGTACATATAAAATTATCGTTTATCGTAGTCTTATAACTTTTTCAACAATTCATAATTTGCACATTGCGTGATAATTAACCAGCATTTAACCCATAATATTTACCTTTTGCTACAATTATTAAGTGCATTAGATGTTAAAAAGCTTTGATAGATAAACTTTTCATTTTTAGTAACTTTAATCCTTATGCAACATAAAAATTTTTAATGGTTAAATATTTTATTTTTGTGTTTTCATTTTTTATTTATATTTATTTTTTGTAATTCATTTTTCATCTATATAATGAGTTACAGAGTATCTATTCGAATATTTAGATATATTAGGTATTTCCGTAATTACCAAGTGCAAAAATTTAAACTATTATACATTGCTATTTTATTAACTTTCTTTTTTCGTTTATAAAATATATATAAGAAAAACATATATTAACTGAATAGTTTTTTAATGTACATAGATACTTTTAAGGTAAAATTTATAATTCTGAATTGCACCCGACCATCAAATTTTATTTTTATTAGTATATTAATTAAATTTTTCAATAGTATTATCACTGCATATGATATATTCAATGGGATGTACCTTTTTATAGTTAAATTGACTACATTTCAGAAAATTTTATTAATATTTTTAAATTTATTAAGTTAGTATGATTTAAACATAGTTATTTTGATTATTTTATTAAATATTTTAAGTACTTCTGAATAGTGAATATAATTAATTTAAATTAATATCTACAATTATATATGAAATATATTTAATCAAATTAATTTCCTTAATAATTTTTTGAATTGTGTCAATAAGTTACTATTAAATTAATATAAATCTTATTAAAAAAATATCTAATAAATTTACGGTCAAAATTCAATTTAAGTCAAGTTGTAGTTAATGAGTAATAGTTATTGAGTGCATAAAAATTAATTCTGTTTTTCTTGCATAAAAATTAAATGCCAAATATAGTCGAAAAACTTTCCCGCCCAAAATCATGCCAATTATGGCAATAATGATTCGTCCATTATATAGATATAGATATAGATATAGATTTATTTTTTATTTTTTTATTTTTATTTTTTTTTTTAAACAAAAAATGCTGATTTATGTTGTGAAATATCATATTTATCTGTTCAGGGTTAGATGCTAAGCTACCATTTCTATTAAGTTTTTCAGTGAAATTTACTCAATGATAAGAAAAGTATATTGCAAAATTGTTAATTGTTGTCATTTGAATACAAAAATGAACTGTCCAGGGTGCTACGGTTAGCATCTCTCCCGATTCCACCTCCTTGGTTTTTATAAGGACTGAGTGCTCTTTCGGTTTTCATTATAAAATCTCCTTTTTAAAAAGGAATATAAAATACATCGTTTCGAAAAAAAAAATACATAAAAGAACTGTTTTTTTTTTTTTTTTATATTTGTCAAGTTGGAAAAAGATAAAGCAAAGACAGCCTTATCCAATCATGGATCAAATAGTTCAGAATACTTGAATCTTGATAACTTGGCAGGACACTTAAAAAGCTCTATTTGTTTTAATATCATATGCATAATAAGTTTTTTCCCCCTTTTTTTTTTCTTTAGCAACAAACATTTAAAGGAATAAATGCATTTTTTTTTTTTTTTTTTATCATGCAGTTCATATTGTTTCCCATATTTGTTTACTATCCAAATAAACATTTCATTTTATCTGCCGGTGGCTTGTAAAAGAATTGGACTAAATTTACAAATTCTCTAAAATTACTGGACCGAATCGTAAACCCCAAAAAGTTGGTGGATAAAAATGGTAAACAGTAAGAATTAGTGGACCAAAAATGTATTTACAGATAATTAACTTGCCAGCCGACTGGCGACTACTACTGCTCGATTCTCTATTAAGAGGGGTTGATTTCAAATTATTGTATTGGTGGAGGATCAAACTGTAACATGAAGAAAGAAAAAAGGACTGACTTGAAATGAAGCTAAGGGACACAAATGCATTTGTAAAAGCAAAAGATGGAACTCCATAACAGAAATTCACTTGCCATGTTTGTATATCCAATAGGGGTGTGTTAACTGTTTGCTTCAATCTCTAATTTTTTTGAAAAAATGACCCCTAACTAACTTATAATTACATATCCCTACCCAACATGCACAATCTCTAAATTTTTTGAAAAAATGACCCCTAACTAACTTATAATTACATATCCCTACCCAACATGCAGACTGTTGTTGTTAATTGCCAGATTTTTACAAAGTGTGGATGACCCATCAGAAAAACTGGCTTTTTTATATTCTTTTTTTTTTCTCATTTGTGCCTCTTTGTTTTTTTATTATTGTTTTTTGGCCCCAATAAAAAGTATGGAGAATACTATTCCTGGCTAACTAAAGTGTTCTTTTTATCTAGACCAGCCCATCACTAATTTATTGAAAACTTTCATCTGCCCATCACTATTCATTGTAAACTTTTATGTCATATGGCAATATTCATAATTTCACTTGGCATTCCTCAAATATATATATAAATTTTTGGAAAATACTACAGTCCCGTTACTGAACCATCCCGTCGGATGTTATACCCGTTGAATACACATGTATCTAGTATAAGATAGATGATATAACGGCTAAAACACCCGACAGGATGATTCCGTGACGGGACCACAGGAAAAAGCAAAATAGTTTCCTTATATTTTCCTTCTCTTCTGCTAATGGGCTCTCTGTATTTTGGCTTCTCTCTCTCCCATAACTGTAATCACCATGTATAATGTGCAAACAGTAACTAGATGTTTTTGTAGTCTGACATTGTGGATAAAATAAAAAATAAAAAAAAAAAAAATAAAAAAAAAATTGAACCTTGATTCTTTCTTCATGTACATAGTAACATCGGCCTTTGTTCTTTACATAGTACTTTCTACATCACGGTACTTTGCCTCGATACTAGTTATAGAAAGATTCCTCGACAGTACAATTTCATTACCCATAATAAAGGACCGTACTTTGATCACTATTAAAAAAAAATGACTAAAGATGTTGGTGGAGACATGACATGGCCAAATTCCGAGTCGGAGCGAGCCCAACCCGGCGGATCATTGGGTTAGAAATCACCGACCTTGAACTGGCCCGTACCTAGATTTGGCTGGTTACACGACCCAGATTCGGGACTCATTCCAAAACAAATTGAAAATCTTTGATTTTTTTGAGACCGACCCAACCCACTGGGTCTTATGTTCAAGTGTTCAACCTTGATCTGTCCCAGTTAAAATACGGTCCGAGTCGAGTTCATGCTAGTATCGAGCCGGATGACCCGTGGCCATGTCAGTGCATACAAGGACGGATTTATTTTGGCTTGGGTTAGCTTGCAGATTTTTTTACCAGAAAATAAAAAAATAAATAAAGTTTTGGACAAAAAAATACACAAACAAAGGGAGTGGAACAAAATCAAAAGCACGTATTTAGTGAATATGTTTTTTATTGTAAAACGTATTTTCAAAATACGTTTTCCTTTGTAAAAAAAAATGATAAGTAGTTGTTGTTCGTTCTGTCAGTAGTTCTGCCTGTCCTCTCGTGTTTGGGAATTAGGAACTCACTCGGAAATGATAATGCCACTGCTATCCCATCTCTATCGGATGAAGGGCTAACGTCCCGTCTTGCTATTACTTTAATATCGAGTTCGAAAGGAATGTGGTAAGAGCAAAACATATTCACTAAATACGTTTTACAATTGAATTTGTATTGAAAACGTATTTAGTGAATACGTGCTTTCTATTTTGTTCTATTCTCCCTTTTTTCTTTTTCTTTTTGTCCACTTGATTTTTTATTATTTTATATATATAAATTACCCTTGGGTTGCAGCCCAGGCCTGTTATTTTTTTCTTTTTTTTTTCAAATATTAGTTTGAAAAAAAAAAATTGTGTTTCTAGGTCAACCCAATAAACCAACTCACTGAGTCACCAAAATAATTCACTTGTCAATTTAAATTCAAAGGCTACAAACACCATTCTGATAAATATTATACATTGTTGATCCAACCCTTCCCACTAAGCATTAACCTACAAAACATTGTTGTACATCAAACTTCAATCAAATAAATTAGTCGCGACCATGTCTTGAACACCAGAACAATGAATTTAGAAGAATCAGAACCAAAAAAAAAAAAAAAAATATATTCAACAAGAAAGAAACTATTTTCAATAAGACAAAGTTATATTTTCAAATCCCCTACTATATATTTG